TTTTTATTTCTAGAGAGAGAGCGAGCGTGAGCAGGGGAGGGTCAGAGAGAGAGGGAGTCACAGACTGAAACAGGCTCCAGGCTCTGAGCTGGCAGTCAGCACAGAGCCCGACGCGGGGCTCGAACCCACGAACTGTGAGATCATGACCTAAGCGAAAGTCGGACGCTTAACCGACTAAGCCACCCAGGCGCCCCGAAAGCTTTTTTTTTTTTAAATTTGTTTAAATATCATATGGTTTTTATCCTTTCTGTTACTGATGTCATGTATCATGTTGATTGACTCATGAATATAGCCTTTATTTTAATGGTTACCTTAAATGCCTGAAGCCAGAAGTATGTATGTATATGTACACACACACACACACACACACAGACACACACACACTCTACACTCTTAGTTTTTGCAGATTGTGTGTTGGGATACTCCTTTAATGCTTAGCTAGGCTTTTTAAAATTAATTCTGCCTTAGCTTTCACTTCCTGAATGAGTGGAGCATGAAGTTCAGCCAGAAGTGAAAGACGGGGGGTATTCTCCGGTCCTGCGTATGCAGCCCGCCCGGTGCATGCCTGCGGACTTCCTGATTTCCTGGAATATGCAGGAGCTTGTAGAGCCCTTCTCCCCTGGGTATCTCCTTTTACAGAATCTTCCTTCCCCAGGGTTTGGTCTCTTTCACTTGTCTTAGGCTACTAAAGCCGGTAGCTTTGCTCCTACTTGCTTTTAGCAAATGCCACCCCTTGCTGCAGTCCCTCAGGGGGTCACTGGAGAGATCCAAATACAGGCGGTCAGTTCACTGAGAACAGTCTGAATCGCTCCGTCTGGCACTGCAGCCACACCTGGAGCTGTCTGCTTGACTGCCAGCGAGGCGGAGGGCGGGGACAGCGCGCGGGAAATGTAAAATGCCACCACGCTGTGTGCTGGCACTGGAGCGGCTTCTTTCTTCATTGTGCTTTCCTCCCAAGTTTCTGGCCAGACTTTAGACTTCTACGAAAGTTAATTCTGACAGGTTTGTCAGTTGTTGCTGTGGAGGGAGAGATCCCTGGTATTCCCTACTCCACTACTTTTAGGGACTTGGCTCCTCTCATTTTCTTAAAATTACCAAGTTGTACTCTTATAAAGAACTTAGTCTCCTACAGACATTGATTTTAATAATATATCACATGAATGCATATGTCAACAGGAAAATATAAGCCGGGTACATGGCTTATGACATTTCTACACTTCACATTCACCGTTTTCCTCCTCTCAATCACTTTTCAATTGTCATTGATGGTTGGGCTCTTTTCCACAACATTGCTGTCCATTCCACCGTGAGAGTTTTTTGTTTTTTTTTTTTAATTTTTTTTAATGTTTTATTTATTTCTAGGAGAGAGAGAGAGACAGCGTGAGCAGGGGAGGGTCAGAGAGAGAGGGAGTCACAGATTGAAGCAGGCTCCAGGCTCTGAGCTGGCAGTCAGCACAGAGCCCGACGCGGGGCTCGAACCCACGAACTGCGAGATCATGACCTAAGCGAAAGTGCCGCTTAACTGACTAAGCCACCCAGGTGCCCCCCACCGTGAGAGTTTTTGATGTGGAATCCCTTAAAGGCACACTGTCTGTCACCACTCCCAGGACTCACTCCCAGCCTGACACCCCATGCAAACAATGACAAACACCCCAACTGACACGTTGGCCGATGCTGATTGTCGTATGAATCTCAATGTCAACAAAATATGAAAAATATACATCTAATAATTGGCAATATGTGGGATGTATGTTTCTGAGAAGCCAGATGAGGAAATGATTAGTTTGGCTAAAAAAAAGTCACAGAAGGCGACAGAAAGGTGCCATTTTGGTAGGGCTAGAGAGTTGATGGAAGGACGCGGCCAGCCAAGCAGCAGAGGAAGAGCCCTGTCAGCAGAGCCCTCAGCGTCACACATGGGGCACCAGGCAGGTCTGGAGGCTATTCAAAGTTGAGTCACGGGTCAGTTGTTTGTGGTAGGAAACGGATTGAAAAAAGTGGGCAGTGGAGAGGTCACACTTAGAAAGTGAAACACTACTGGCTTAGCAAAGAACTTTTCAGAAGATTCTAAGGAACATAGTAATGTGATATCTTCCTCTTCAAAGACTGCTTGGAGGCCATGAGCGAAATGGATTGATTTTGGGTGGGCAAAGTGCCACCCAGGGTGTGGCTGAGGAGGTGGGCTGTGGCAAGGAAGACAGGCAGGTGTGGCTGACGTGGGATAAGTCCACGTCACAAGAAAACAGGTTGGGGAGGCAAACCGCCTCTCCTTTGTGTTTTTATTAGTGGGATTGTGAGCAAATTTTACATGACAGCTTGGACAACTGACCCACATAAGCAAATACCTGGCTCTCTGTGATCTGGGGGCTCGCTGTCATAAATTACAGGGGCTGAGGTGAATGCAGCAATTTTTACCAATCATAGTAGGTTTTTAATAAGATACATAAATATGTGTGACCCCAGCACACATGGACCTTGTGTTTTCATCACTTTAACCCCTGTCTTGCCTTTTCAAAACTAATATATTTGAATAAGGTTTATCGAAAAAAGTCTGTATTTGTAATCTCACTGTTGTCTGAGACAAAACAGGCAGAAATATACCAGGAAGTTAAAATAAGCCTAAGGCAGGTTAACAATACATCTAATGTGATAGTTGAGAATAATAATCTAAAGAGGGCGCTGAAGTCAACAGTGTCTCTCTTGAAACTTCCTTTTCACATTTTTGATAGCACTGCTCACAGAACATTTGCACTGTTTCAGACTTTAACTTGGAGGAGACCTGTTCTTGTTCACATCCTGTGCCACAGGAAGCACCCAAAAATGGTCTCTCATCAGAACAGAGTTCTGGTCACTGTTATAAATGTGCAGGAGGAACTCCAATGGACTTTCTAATTCTGACAGTGCTCAACAATACTAGAGCATATTTTAAGCATTTTCAGCTTCCTGAATTTCTAATGTGTTTAGAAAGTCCACAGGGAGTGGACTTCATCTGAATATCTCAACTGTGCTCAGCATAGGTGCAGCCTCATAAACATGGGAATCCAATGCTCCCAATGTTTTGAAGGAATGCTTTCCTACTTGATGCCTTCATTTCGGCAGTCATCAGAATACCAGACTCAAGAAGGCTCAAGTAATTACTTGAAACAGATCCCTAACGATGAGAAATGATGAACAAATAGGTATTTATCTTGAGTAAATTTATAGTAGAGCTGGGAAAGGGCAGAAAGAGAAGATGTTTAAGAAAGGACTATGAACTACTGTCAAAAATCCCTTCAACTTTAGATTGTTTTATTATTTTTTAGAAAAGCCTTTAATTTGCCCTAAAATGTCACAACAAATCCATAGTTTACTAGTCATGGACCCCTCTCTCTCCTTCTGGAAAAGGGAAAAATTTTTTGAAATCTAAAAGTTATTATTTGTGCATAATACATTTTTTTTTACAAATAGTTTATTGTCAAATTAGTTTCCACATGCATAATACATTTTTAAAAATGTTGGCCTAGCATCCCTTTAAAACTCAATCCTAATCTGATATTTGAATCTACTAATTATCTCACTGAATAATTTTCATAAGAGTATGGTTCCTCCGTATATTCATTTTGCATCCTCTGATTGGAGAGAGCTTCGATAGTGTTTCTGAGTTCCTAAAAAAATAAGAACCAAGACATATATATGTCCTAGGCTTTTCTTTGTTTATGCATGAGCCCACACTATACGTGTCCCTGGGTTTTACCCTAGGAAATGAATCAATAGTGTAACATAAACATCATGTGGCCTCCAAGTGATTCTAAAGCAACATGTTTGTCCTTGTAGAAAATCTATAAAACATCCACAGAACTTCATTAGAAATCACCTCTGGAACTGCCCGCAGAGAGCAGTTTGTGGAGCATTAGGTGTTTGGCGCCGAAGTCTGGTGAGTGAGAAGCCGAAGCCAAGCACTGAGGTGAGAATGAGGCCACGTTTGAATAAGGGCAGTGATTTAATAAATGGAGTTGACCAGAAATGCCTGCCCCAAATTGCAGGAAACTCAAGGAACAAAATCAATCCATACTGTGTCTTCACGCACTTCACAGTATAAAGAGCTAGCAATTTAATACTCTGTCAGAGCTGCTCGTGCAAATCTCGTTCTCCTAAAGAGGACCCAACTGCTTTAGATTCAGAAGGACTTCTTTTTGGAATACCGAGCACAGAGAAAAGAGCCAGGAACTGAAAATAGGACTGGAGCAAGGCACCGCCGCAAGATGGCACTGCTGCCGCAGGCCTAGCGCGAACGCCAGTGCGCGGGAGCTCGCGGGAAGCGCGGGGTCCGAGCCGGCCGTCGGGCCTGGCGGGGCCCGCGCGCGCTGGAGCCGCTTGCATTTAGCGCGGCCGGCCGCTCAAGCGTACGTCGTGACCCCACCTCTCCCCTCTGCTGCGTCCCGCTGTCCCTGCGGCCTCCGGCCGCGACGCCGACCCTCGACCCGGAGCCTCGACCCTAGGGCCAAATTGGGCCCCGAATTCCCGGAATCGCGCGAGGCAGCCCCCACTGCGCCCTCCTCGCCGCTCGGGACGCAGACCAGGGTCCTCAGGGCCGGAGCCGTGGCTGGAGCACGTCTCCGCGCTCTGTCCTCGGTCCCGCAGTCGCCCTCCCCCAGTTTGAGCTCCCTCTGACAACAGGAACCGGCCCGGGACACGCGCGCCGCAGCCAAGTCCTGGTTTTGATTTCACTGCCGCTCCAAAGAGCGAAGTGGCTCCAAACCCAACAAACAGGAAGGAAAGAAGGAGTCGGAGTGCGGGCAGAGGGAGGGTCATTCCCAGCAGAGGCGCCCGGGCCGGGCCGGGGGCGGGGAGGAAGTGCTGCCCCTTCCCCTCCAGCGCCGGACGCGGCGGGGGTGGGGGCAGCGAGAGGACGGCGGCCGGGGAAGAGGGGGGGCTCGGGGGCGGCTCCGGGGCCGGGCGGGGTGCTCGGGGCGGGGTCTCCCTGGACGCCACCGCCCGCCGCCCCCTCCCCGCGGCCCCGGGGCGCCCCCGCGGCTCTGGAGCCGGGGCGGGGCGTGTGCGTCAGCTCGGGCTAGAAAAGGCGGCGGGGCCCGGCCCAGCGAGGTGACAGCCACGCTCGGACACGGAGGCCGGCCCGACGCCGCCATGAGCGCCGCGCTCTTCAGCCTGGACGGCCCGGCGCGCGGCGCGCCCTGGCCCGCGGAGCCCGCGCCCTTTTACGAGCCGGGCCGGGCGGGCAAGCCAGGACGCGGGAGCGAGTCAGGAAGCCTGGCCGAGCCGGGCGCCATGGCTCCTGCCATGTACGACGACGAGAGCGCCATCGACTTCAGCGCTTACATCGACTCCATGGCCGCCGTGCCCACCCTAGAGCTGTGCCACGACGAGCTCTTCGCCGACCTCTTCAACAGCAACCACAAGGCGGGCGCGGCGGGCGCCGCCGCGGGAGCCCTGGAGCTGCTGCCTGGCGGTCTCGCGCGTCCCCACGGCCCGGGCACCGGCGCCCCGCGTCCGCTCAAGCGCGAGCCCGACTGGGGCGACGGCGACGCGCCCGGCTCGCTGCTGCCGGCGCAGGTGGCCGCGTGTGCGCAGACGGTGGTGAGCCTGGCGGCCGCCGCGCAGCCCACGCCGCCCACGTCGCCCGAACCGCAGCGCTGCAGCCCGGGGCCGAGTCCCGCCCCAGGCCCGGCCCGGGAGAAGAGCGCGGGCAAGAGGGGCCCGGACCGCGGCAGCCCGGAGTACAGGCAGCGGCGCGAGCGCAACAACATCGCCGTGCGCAAGAGCCGCGACAAGGCCAAGCGGCGCAACCAGGAGATGCAGCAGAAGCTGGTGGAGCTGTCGGCCGAAAACGAGAAGCTGCACCAGCGCGTGGAGCAGCTCACGCGGGACCTGGCCGGCCTCCGGCAGTTCTTCAAGCAGCTGCCCAGTCCGCCCTTCCTGCCGGCCTCCGGGGCCACCGACTGCCGGTAACGCGCGGCCCGGGGGCGGGAGAGACTCACCAACGACCGATACCTCAGACCCGACGGGCCCGGGAGCCGAGCGCGCCCCGCCTGGACGCCGGCGGCAGTTTCTTTGGGACGCACGAGTGGAGGAGCCTACAGCCTGGACTTAACCACCACTGAACTTCAAGAGAAGCTATAGGTGTTTATTTCCCCTTAAATTATTTTTATAATGGTAGCTTTTCTACATCTTATTCCTGTTGATGCAGCTAAGGTACATTTGTAAAAAAGAAAAAAGAAAAAGACTTTTCAGACAAACCCTTTGTATCGTAGGTCAGAGGAAAAGACTGAGCATGATCACTTTTTTATATTAATTTTTACAGCATTTGTAAGAATAAAGAAGCATTTAAAACCACCCGATTTCCGTATTCACAGTGACTTCTGAATGCTGGTGGCCCCAGGACCTCGCTGGGGAAGGGCACATTCCAGTGCCAGGCGTGCAGCAAGGCACCAGGGAGGCCGCGGGACCCAGGTGTGTGTCACTGAGGGGGAACGGAGTCTCTTAGAAAAGGGCATCTGCTTTGCTTTTGAAACCTGCCAGAGTCCACCTCCAGATGTTCTATTTATCCAATATCGGGGAAGCCCGGTAACCTCGTGCTAAGCTAGCAGCTTTCTGGTGGAAGGTTCTCCCAGAGAACACCTGGACTTGGGGAGGACGCTGGCTCGATGACCACTCCTGCAGTTGATTTAGGGGCTCTTGGATAGAGAAGAGCCGAAGGGCTCCCTAACTTCAGTTGGCTGCTCCAGGGGTGAGGGGTGCGGGGAGGGGCTCAGGCTGTCCCAACAGCATGTCTAAGTCTTCTTTGGCTTTCATGGGACTTTGCTTTCACTTTTCTCAGTCTTAGGTACAGCTTCCAGTAGATTTTGAAAGTGGGTGTAAATATATAATAGTTCTGCAGTAGATGCAGAAGACAGTCAAAAAGCTACTCAAAACCAGCAGTCCTGCCAGTCATTGTAATGTCTCAAAGCTTAATCGAGACAAATAGAGCCGTTAGCCTTTCCCCCAATTAGAGCGGGCACTAGGCACCCTTTCTTGCTCTGAACTGCTAGGTCTGTCTTATGTAATTAACCTTGGTCCATCATGATTATACTGTTATAAAGGAAGAAACAAAATCTTTATTGTCTAAAGACAATTTATTAATCATTTCATGTTAATTTAAATCTCTGCCAACAATAACCAATCACTCCTCTTGAGTCTGTAATATTGGCTCTCTGTGCACAGTACCCATCATGATTAAACAGGCCTATCTTTCTGTCCAGTACGGCAATAATCAGACCAGGTAACTTATCTATACTTTATGGGTAACAGTTTTAAAAACTTAAAAATTACAAATGAACAGAATTTTATTTTCTTGCTGTTTTAATACTGCCTAAGATGAAATACAAAGTGAAGACCAAGCTTATTTAAGTTTTAATATAACATGTTCCCAAGTTTGCAGAAAGGTCATAAAATATAACTGTAGAAAAAAGTACTTTGATGTATACTTTACAAAATTATCTTACTAACATTTGCCCCAGAAAAAAAATCTAAGTTCCATTTCAAGATCATACAGTATATTTGCTCTGCCTTTAGTTAACAAATAACTACCCCAAACCACCACCTCCACCACCACCGTGACTGCATCACAAAGTTCACGCTCCTATGGCAACTGGCAGTGTTGGGAAGAGGCTCTTCCTGCAGTCAGGAGCTCAATTTCCTCCAATCCAACGCAGCTAGCTGGGTGGGTGGTTATGGACTGGACAAAACAATTCAACAACCCCACCTCCTTTCCGAGGACGCTCTTCACTTCATAATTCTGCAGTGACAGAAGGCATGCTGGTTAAAGCAAACAGAGCTGGCCCTGGACGTTCTGTTCCCAACAGTACAGAACACTACAGAGCAGAGCAGAAGGTCCTTTCCTTAGTCTGTGACCTTCCACTTTTCAAATGGTGAGAACAGGGTAAGGAGGAAAATAAGGGCTTGAAAAAAGCCCTATTTATTATGGCAAATGAAGGAACTCCTTTTTTTTCCCTGATATTAGTGGATGCAGTGACAAGGATGTCCCAGCTGGCTGTCCTAGGAGAGGAACTGGGGGACTGACATACAAAGGGAGGTGCCCTGTTCTCTAGTGGGAAGGCTGGGGGCGGGGCATGCATCACGCTTGCAGCTGTCTCCCACTTCCTTTGGGACACTTCCCCAATCGAGCAACACTTCTGGTCAAAGGATTTCCTGGTACTTTGCCCCAAACTTCCCTCCTTACTAGGATCCTGTTTTTTCTAAAGTAACTCGTCTAGGGCCTAACATGTCTGTGTTGTAGAAAGCTTTTACTTCACATTGTTTGATGAGTATCTTACAGTGATTGGTTAATCACAGGCAGGTTTCAGCTCTAGATGAGAACTCAGGACACTGGCCAGCACGGGTACCAGGTGCACAGTCATGTGCTGGGAAGGTGTGGCAGCTCTCAAACCTCAGAACACTTTCTTCTTGGGGTAGAAGTGGGACTGAAAATAAAGAGTGGCTCAAACGCACTGGAATGAATCCTGTCTCTGGCTTTTCCAGAGACTGAAGCCCTAGAAGGTAATAGGTTTTTCAGAGACTCTTGCTGCCACTTGCAGAATACTATCTGAGGTATGCCACCCATCCTCTGTGCAAGACCCCTGACACAACTCTACAGTAGCCCAGTTCTGTATGTTTTGGCTCACCCCTTTCATCATTAATGTGTTTTGGCAAAGGAGATTGGGGCTGGAGGGCTCTGACAACATGGCGAACATAGGCACATGTCTGTGGCTCCTCGGTGCTCTCCCATCAAAGGCGGGCTGCCCTGGATCCTGGGCTGGGCTCAGTGACTACTTCTCATGAAAGTATGGTGGAAAGGACAGAGTGGCATCCCAGCTAGGTCAGGAAGGTACCCAGCTCCTGCCTATCTCTGTTGGGATCCAGACACATATTGTGAGAGAATCTAGACTGTGGCTGTCTGGCCAGAGCCTGAGAAGGTTCCAAGCAAAGGAGCACAACAGTCAGCTGGGGACTGAAGGGTGTTGTGACTCTAGCCTAGCCTTTGGGGCATCAGCTGATGCCCCATATGTGGAGCTGTCCTGGCAGAGCCCTATCCAAACTGCAGGCCAGTGTGCAGAGTAAGTATGGAGGCCAACTAAGCTTTGGGATGGTTGGTTTTGAAGCAGTAACATCAGGATCAGTCTGGGGTGTGAGCACTGCTCTAATGCCAATCCACTGTGATCGTTTTGCTTTCCTGTGTTTTAAGGAAGGCAAATTGCAACACACCTAGCCTATTCAATGTGATCAGAAGAGTTGTGGCTTCTTCAGTGGTTTAATGGAGGGATGGGCGAGTAGGGAAAGTCAAGACAGGGAAAGGGGAAAGAGGGGTCTCTGGGTGGCTCAGCCAGTTAAGTGTCCAACTCTTGATTTCAGCTCAGGTCATGGTCCCAAGGTCATGGGATTGAGCCCTGCATCAGGCTCTGTGCTGAGTGTGGAGCCTGCTTGTGATTCTGTCTGTCTCTGTCTCTCTCTGTTTCTGTCTCTCTCTCTCCCCCTCTCTGCCCCTCTTCTGCACACACACTCTCTCTAAAACAGAAACAAAAACAAAAACAGACAGATGAAGCGGCAGGACTAAAGTCTCTGACTGGACAACCATGGCTGAGGCCTTCCTCTGCCCAGCTCATCTGTGACATGGATGTTAGGTTCATGGCCCACTGCCTTGATCATTCTTCAAGGCCTTGCTATAAACCTAAGAGGGGTCTGATCCTGAAAAGACGGCAGAGAACCAGATAGCCAAACAACTCTGAGGTGTGGAGGGCATCCACAGGGCCATGCAGAGTGAGGGGTTGCCATCTAGGGCTGGGAGGACTGAGGCCAACTGGGTGCTTCTCTGCTGTGTCTTATGACTTGCACATTTGTGCATGGGGAATTAGGAGGCCCAGGCACTCCCACACTCACTTCAGGTAAAAGTGTAGAATTCTGACTTGTAAAATAAGTCAGGAACAGATCATTTCTTTTTACAACATCAGATTTGGCAGCTACAGATTACAGTAACTACATCATAGTCAAAAATAGCTGTATCACTGATAAATGGAAATCAAATGATAATTATATTTGTGGGGAATTAAGATGAGAGGTACGAAATAATCACACCAGCAAATGCAAATGCACTATACATATAAATGTAATGAATGTGCATATGTGCAAAATGTGTCTGTTTTTAAAGGGCACACTATATTTAACTTTTCTTTTTCTGAAAGCTAAGGAAACAAGCTCCAAATTTCCTATCACTGTAATGTGACCTTTGAGAACTGAAATGTACAACAGCAGCCACTCCATTGTTTTCACTCTAGCTTGAATACCTCAAAGTTACAGTGTATAACTTAACAGCCTATGTCCCAACCAGAAAGAGGACATCCGTTCCAGGGAGTGGAGCTATGGTTGTTGTGGAAAGCCTAATTTGTTTCTTTGGGTTCTGGAGAATGCATTCTCACCCAGAAAATAGACAGAATCCAGACTAGAAAGCTCATGCTCATATCTACCCAGAGTCCTTCTCATACCCATATCTCAGCTCCTTGCAGGTCAGATGTAAAGCCCTAATTCTCCACTGTGAGTAAAGCTGGGGGAGGGGAAAGGTGCTTACTAAAATGTGCCTCCAGGCTTGCAATTTACCCTAATTTTACTGGCGTCAGCTCTGATAACAGAGCACCCAGCGAAGTGACACCTGAGACCGTTGCCACCCTGTACCCCTCACCCAGTGCAAATGTGCACACATAGGCACACACTCGTACACATGAGCACACACTGGTGTATGCACACACTCAAGCACACCCATAGGCAAACCACCCACACTCAGATACACACACATTTGCACACACACACTCTTGAGTTCTTCCTAAGTAGGGTTTTGCCTCCGTGTGCACTGTAGTTGAGAAGTGTGATGTTTAAGAGGTACAAGTCAGCCTCAGTCAGAAGGAAATCAAGTGAAGAGACCGTTCTGCCAGGCCTCCTCCTGATCCCTGGTCCCTACAGGGAGGTAGGCAGTCAAGGGCAGTCCGTGGCTGGAGGCTTCCTTGAGGGAGCTCCAGGCTGCTCTCTGGAGGAGCCTGCGGAGAAGCAGTGGGAGAACAGGCCTGAGCCTGGCACGGCCCAGCCAGGGCCACCGGAGGAACCACAGGGCAGGCGCTGCGCCTCTAGCACAGGGGCTGCGGGGAGCTGTGCACTGTTCCAAGTGCTGCTGCTTCTTGTTTCCTGAGGCTGTGGTTTGGGTTCATTTGCTACATGTTCTCCTTAAGCATAAGTTTTCCCAACTCTTCCCACTTGATAACCTAGATCTGCCATCTTTAGCACCTGTTTAAAGCCCCCTCCAATCCACCAGCCTTACCTAGAATCACACCCTTCTTTCTTCCTCCTTGCCCACCCCAGAGACTGAGAGATAAGGTGACGAGGAATCAGTCAGCAGGTACTACTGTCTTGTCACCCATTAAACCCAGACACTTCAGGAGGAACAGAAACATACACACCAGGATCTCTGTCACCCTCCCCGCACTCTGCTAGCTGGTCACTTCTGGGAATGGCACTGTACCCAACGAAGACTGTGGCTGTGAGCCCTGCACTCTCATTTCTTCAGTGGTGAAATGTGGATTCTGCGCCACGGAGATGTTGGGTGTAAGAAAAGTGGTGAACACAGTTTGCGGCCCATTGTAGTCACTGACTGACTTGTAAACAATCGGGGAGTACTTGCTCATAAGTCCTCCCATGGCCTGGTCTGCACATCGGTCCCTACATGTGAAGCAGCCCTTTAGACAAAGGTTTGGCGTGGGGATGGAGGCATCACCCAGTTGTGTGAGGAAGCTATGCACCTTATCCCAGGGAGAGAGCCAGAAACTTTTTAGGGACCCATGAGCAGTTCAACCCTGGAATCAGGCTGGGAAACCCAGTCAGCCCAGTGATCCTCAAGGATCCTATTCATGGATTTATCCATGTCCTAATTTAATCCAAACTCTTGAGTGCTACGGCCTTGAGCAAAGAGTGTGAATGATGGCTGTTCCCTCTCCTCGTGCTGCTAACCTCTGGCCCTCAGGAGGGGCAGGCAGCTGCTGGAGACAGAAGCCCCTTGCACCTGCAGAGGACGGGTCACATCAGTCTCACATTCTGGCTGCTATCTGGGCTGGAATTGGGCCATGGAACCCCATCACAAAGCTCTGCAGATGCTCAGCCCCCCTTTCACCACAAGCTCCCCAGCTGGCCCAACTCTGCTACTTGTATGTGGACCCTACCCCTGGCCACAGATACCTTTGTGACCTGGGGACTGTGCCCTGGCACCACCCCAGTGGTTGGGCCCAAGTGCTCTTCTCTGGGGTTCAGTGATTCTACAGGCCCCTTGTGGTGCTATCAGATGGTTTTGACAAGACAGAGGTGGGGTGTCAAGGACAGACCTCTCTAGTTCATGAGGGCCAAATTTTACACGGAAGAAATGGTCTCAAGGCCTTAAGTTGTGTGTGTTCAGGGGCTGGTTTTCACCGCTCATGGTTTTCACCGCCTCACACCATAGTAACTCTCAGGGCAGGCAAAACAGTTCTGAGAAATAATGGTAAGTTTCCAGTTACTGACTCTGGCATGCCCAGCAATTAACAAACACCAAATGGGTGCCTCAGGTATTTCCATTCTCTTAATGTAAAACCAGGGCAGGCCTTGAAATGTCGACTGTCCTACTATAACCAAAGCCAGGGGGACAGTTTCATGTATCTACTGCAAGATTGGTAAGGAAATAACCTCAGTTCCCAAAAGGGAAAGTTCTCGTGAGAAGATGGGCGTTTGTCGGGAAGTGAGGCAGTACGGCTTATCCACCTCTTGGTGAAATAAACACGAAGATGAACATGATTATATGTGGCACTTTGCTGTAACTGAAAGTACACAGGGCAGAGGACTTCACCTGGGGATGACCCACTAACTCGGGTTTAAGAACACAGGGGTGCACACCTGGGCTTTATGTCCCCGGACTTACCCCATCTTTGCCGGCGGCAAACCTCAGGAGTGAAGAAATACTGGTCTGGGATAGCTGCAATGACAGTGGGACACGGCTTAAACCCCAGGACTGGTGCAAGTGCTCAGGCCCACGCCTGGGGCTTAATGTTGAATCTAAACCCCCTTGATTTCCTTAGCAGCTTCCCTCTCAAAGCCTTATGTCCAACGTGACTGTAAGCCACAGACACGGACTGTGTTCCTGAGGGGGAGCCCTTCCCCACCTTCCCCAGGGAAGGAAACTGATGCCACCCCCCTAGATAGCGGTGCTGCAGAGCCCCTCAGTGACGCAGAGTGGGGTGCACACAAGGGGCCCCACGTCGCAGAGCAGGGCGCATACGAGCTCCGCACACCTCCTACCTTGACCTTCACTGTGCACTGGGGATGAGAGGGGCAGTCCAGGAACACCTGCAGGTGCCTTCTGAGCAGAGGAGAGGTGACCACATGGGAGCAGTTCCCACAGAAAAAGGCGCCTCTGTTGTTTGGAAACACACAGGGAAGATAGGACTTGGAAACCAGAAGGGTCTAGTGATAGGCATTTTTTTCTAAATGTGAGTGTTTGCTGAGATAGAAAAGGGAGGTTACTCTCAGAAGCTAAATTCCTGAAATAGGCTGGAGAGGCCCCAGGCTCAGCCTGTTCTGAGGGATCAGTATCACTAAGGGCTGCGTGGGTAATGATGCCCCAGGGGATGGAAGGGACACTGAAGCAGGGAAGCCTCCTCAGAGCTGGGCATAGAGGATGATAGCAAACTCCCCATGAGGCAAAGCAGAGGCCCTCTGTGCAGCAAGCAGCGGTCAGGGCTCCCCTTCTGCCTGAACAGGATGACTTCCTCATCACCAGCAGCTCTGGTCCTTACTGCCACCAGGTAAATCTGTGGTTCACACTCTTCTGGTCTCTTGAATATGATCCAGTGATGGCTTGTTTATACCTAAGGCCACCAACGCGGGAGGCGTCAAGGAGACAGCTGTCCGTTACTTATTAAGAAGCAAAAAAGTAACGAGTGGGCCTCTTTCTGCCTGTCAGATGACAAAGTTACCTTGGGAGGCAGGGAACCAGCTCGGAGAACTATGTGGATACCCACCCCCTGGGGCCCAAGGCAGGGTATGCGGTAACGCTGGTCCGGTAAGGAATGTCCGTTTATGTAGATGTTCACTGGTCTCTGGGAACGTTTGTACCCCGTAGACGATGAGCTGTACAGTCACCAATTCTGTCTCATTTATTCACATTTGTCCTGACTGATGATAAAGGAGCCGCATACAGAACCTGGCTCTTTTCTCTATGATGACAGGAGGTACTGCAAGGACCAGCAAGAAGCCCTGTTACAAAGAAGTAAGCACACCTCACACCAGGTCTTCTAGCTGCAGTGTAGCCACGTGACCTCCTGGTGGGAGCTCAGGCCTGGCCCGACAGGGGACGCTGGCCCAAGGCATGTGGCACTGGGGCCCTAGGGCTGACTGTGGCTGAAAGGCCAGCTGCTGCCTGCTTACCTGTGTCCAGGGCTCTGCTCCAGTCTCTCGTTCCCACACAGGTCACAAGTGGGCCATGAGAAGGCAGTGCTCTCATCCACACCAACCACGGTGCCTGGGCCCATGTGAAAGCAAAGATGGAGTCTCAGAGGCAGTGTCTGGCCTCCCAATTTCTCTCTGTCCCTCAGGACCTACATGGCAGTGTGAGGTTCCTCAGGTTTTTCTCTCCCTTCTGAGTTTATATAAATGTTCCCAAGCTTTTTATAACCTCCATGTACTGCACAAACAAAACTACAACAATAAAAAGTAAGTTTTTTAAAACTTGCTTACATTACTACCTAACCAAGTATTTGTATCCCACCTCATTGTTTTTAGCCTTCTCCCCCCCCAGATGCGTATATATTGAAATCATTATAAGCAAGGCGTCAGGGCAGTGTCTCGTACTACTTTGTAGGTTGCTATAGAACTGTTGTAAGGACTGTCTTATTTGATATTCCATTTGGGGGATGTGTCACTGGTCCCTCCATATTGGACATATAGGTCTGAGGCAGTGGAAATCTTTCTACATAAGGCCTTTATTGTACTGACATCTCTTTCTCAGCATGGATTCACAGAAGCAGATCACTGTCAAGAGTATGAGTACTGAAGATCCAGAAACACCCTTTCAGAAGCTGCCTCCCACAAGGACCTCTGATGGACACTGTCACCATCCACTCACAGAGTGCTAGCTGCACTGTGCTCCTTGTTGGCATCACCGCAGTATTTGCTCCCTAATAAGTATAATGGAATTCCTTATCTTCATGCCCACTTCTTTGATAAGGAAAGAGAAATATTCTTATTGGTTTGCTATCCTCTTATGTGATTTCTCTGGTTTCCTTATTCCTTTTTAAATCCAATATTTGTGATTTATTTCTTCAATAAACAAATGTGTATATAGTGCTAATTAGTGTGCGATATACACATAGCATGGAAGATATACTGACGAATGCTACAATTCTTGCTCTTGTGGACTCCATACTCTGGTTGAGAAGAGATATGAACAAATAATGAAAAAAATATGAATATGGGAGAAAATAACCACAAAAACATATCAGATAAAGGACTGTTACCCAAAATATACAAAGAACTCTTAAAACTCAATAATAACACAGACAACCCAATTAAAAATGGGCCTAAGACCTTCATAGACACTTCACCAAAGACGATATACAGATGGCAAATAAGTATATAAAAGATATCAAACATCATGTGATCAGGGAACTGCAAAGTAAAACAAGGAGAACACCAAAAAAAAAAAAAAATCCAAATAATTTAATTAAAAATGGGCTAAGGACCTGACTAGATATTTTTCCAGAGAAGACACCCAGATGGCCAACAGACACATGAAAAGATGCTCAAAATCACTGATTAAAAGGGAAATATAAATCAGAACCACAATGAGATACCACCTCACACCTGTTGGGATGGCTAAAATAAAAAAGACAAGAAATAACAAGTGCTAGTGAGGATGTGGAGAAAGGGGAGCCCTCAAGTACTGTTGGTGGGAATGCAAACTAGGGTAGCCACTGTGAAAAACAGTATGGAGTTTCCTCAAAAAGTTGAAAATAAAAATACCATATAATCCAGTAATGTCCCTATTGGGTATTTATCCAAAGAATACAAAAAAACTAATTGGAAAAGATAACATACACTCTGATGCTTATAGCAGCATTATTTACAATAGCTAATTTATGGAAGCAGCCCAAGTGTCCCTCTATAAATGAATGGATAAAAAAAGATGTGATATATATACATATCATATATGTATATGATACACACACACACACACACAATGGAATATTAATCAGTCATTAAAAAATGAGATCTTGCCATGTGCAACAAAATGGATGGACCTAGAGGACATTATGCTAAGTGAAATATGTCAGTCAGAGAAAGACAAATACCATGATTTTGCTTATATGTGGAATCTAAAAACCAAACCAATCCAACAAAAAGCAGAAACAAACCCATAAATACAGAGAACAAATTGGTAGTTGCCAGAGGAGAGAGGGGAGGGGGGATGAGCAAAATGGGTGAAGGGGAGTGGGAGTTACAGGTGTCCAGTCATGGAATAAATGTCATGAGGATGAGAGGTACTATAAAAAAGCTGTATGGTAACAGATGGTAGCTACACTTGCAGTGAGCATAGCATAATGTATAAAGTTGTTGAACCACTAGGTTGTACACTTGAAACTCCTGTAACACTATGAGTCAACTATACTTCAATAAGTAAAACAAAACAAAACAAAATACCCAACAATGAAATAACAAGGGCCAAAATCCAGAACACTGACAACACCAAATTCTGGTAAGGATGTGGAACAGGAACTTGGATTCATGGTGGGTGGGCACACAAGATGGTACAGCTACTTTGGAAGACAGTTTTGGCAATTTCTTATAAAACATAGTCTTACCATATGATCCAGCAATTGCACTTGGTAGTATTTATCTAAAGAAGTTGAAAATTTATGTCCACACAAATACCTGTATACAGATGTTTATAGCACCTTTATTCTTTTTTTTTTAAGTTTTTATTTATTTTGATAGAGAAGGAGAGAGAATCCCAAGCAGGCTCCGCACTGTCAGGGCAGATCCCTATGTGGAGCTTGGACTCACAAACCATGAGATCATGACCTGAGCTGAAGTCGGGACACTTAACCAACTGAGCCACCCAGCTGTCCCTAGCAGCTTCATTCTTTTTTTTTTTTTTTTTTTTTTTAATATTTTTTATTTATTTCTAGGAGAGAGAGAGAGACAGCGTGAGCAGGGGAGGGTCAGAGAGAGGGAGTCACAGACTCTGAAACAGGCTCCAGGCTCTGAGCTGGCAGTTAGCACAGAGCCCGACGCGGGGCTCGAACCCACGAACCGCGAGATCATGACCTAAGCGAAAGTTGGACGCTTAACCGACTAAGCCACCCAGGTGCCCCCCTAGCAGCTTCATTCTTAATTGTGACAACTTGGAAGCAACCAAGTTGTCCTTCAATAGGTGAGTGGATAAATAAACTGTGGTACATCCAGACAATGGGACATTATTCAGCACTAAAAAGAAATAAGCTATCATACCATGAAAACATACATGCAAGAAACAGAATTCATAGTGCTTAGTAAAAAAATCCAGTTTGAAAAGGCCATATACTGCATGATTCCAACTACTACACAACATTCTGGAAAAAGCAAAATTATACAGACAGTAAAAAGATCAGTGATGGCCAGGTGTTAGAGAGGAGGGAGGGATAAAGAGGTGGAGCAGAGGATTTTTATGTCAGTGTAGCTATTTGGTATGATACTATGATGATGGAACATTTGTCTGAACCCATGGAATGTACAATACCAAGAATGAATTGTAATGTAAACTCTGGACTTTGGGTGATTATGATGTGACAATGTAGGCTCATCAACTATAACAGATGTACCACCCTAGTGTGGGATGTTAGTAATGGGGGAGGTGATGTATGTACAAAGGCAGGAGGTATGGGGAATCTTTGTAACTTCTGCTCAACTGTGCTATAAACCTAAAACTGCTCTAAGAATAGTCTATTAATGGGGTGCCTGGCAGGCTCAGTATGACTCTTGATCTCAGGGTCATGGGTTCAAGCCCCTCAAGCCCCACGTTGGTCACAAAGCCTACTTATAATAAACAAACAAATCAACAAATAAAGTATCCACTAACAAATACAAATAGTCTATTAAATATTACCATGAAATGAATGCTAAACTGAGAAATGGAAAAGAGCCTTGGAGGATCCTGTCTAGGAGAGGCTCCCTAGGCTAGCTTGGGGTCAGGAAAGGTTTCCCAAAAGAAGAAATACGAGGTGATGTTGTAGGTGAGGTGGGCTGGAGGAAAAGACATGAAGGAAAGGCAAAGATATGGCTGAGAGAGGTTGAGAGACCAAATCACTGAGGGTCTTGCTAGGGATTTTACACTTGAAAGGCGTGAGAAGTCAGTGAGGAATTTTAAACAGGAGATTGAGATGGTCTAATTTTCTTGAAATGTGAAGCCTTATAGATATCATCTAGATACATTAGCAAATCATAGACCATTCTTGTTGAAAACTGGTAAAATTAGACATTTGAAAAGATGTGACCTAAGTTTCCAAAAAAATGGAAGAATCATCCCTCCTACTCCTGGAGCAAAGAATTTCATTTCTCACTAGAACAAGCATTAGGAGAAATTTATCTGTAGGGAATAAAACAATTGTTACAACTAAGTAGGCTTGATTTATTAAAGTGCATTCATGCAATGCCTACTTGAATGACTTCTTAAAAATGAAAATAATAGATCATGATTTTGAAAAGGCTGTCCAGCTAATTTCATTGTCCTTGCAAATCTAATCAAGATTGAGTCAAAGGGATGAAAAGTAAAGTCAATAATGGCTTATAATACAGCCGGAAAGGAGCGTTGACCAATTCACAACAGGCAGAGGCATAAGTAGGGCCAAATAGGGTGAGTGGTTCCTATCCCATGGGTGTGCCTAGTGCTAGCTGGTTCACAGCAGTACTTGCTAAGTGTCTGCTACATAAACTAATAAAAAGGCTGCTACCAACTAAAGTTCCTTTTTATTCTAAGATATCTTTGGGTGTTAACTGTACTTACATTTAGATGGGATTAAGCAATTTCCTTCCAGTAGGGAACAAGACACAGTTGAAGAAATATATTTCATCTGGGGTATACACACCACTGGAGATGCCTTCCAGTAACTCTAAATAAATTCCAAGGGGTGGCTGGGAAGTGTACTATTAAACTGTTAGTATCTAGAACATTTGCTTAAATGAAAGCAAAAGGGAAAAAATTTTTTTTTGGTTGAAGTTTGAGGGTTGTAACCATACTCATTGCTTGGCTGCAATCAGCTATTCAAAGATTTTATTTTTTGGGGTGCCTGGGTGGCTCAGCTAGTGAAGCGTGGACTCTTGATATCAGCTCAGGTCTGGATCTCACAGCCCTGAGTTCAACCCCTGCATTGGGCTCCACACTGGGCATGAAGCTTACTTAAAAAGATAAATCTCTTGTAATCAGATCTGAGAAAGGTGTATCACATATTTATTACAACATCTTTTTAAAAAGGTTCTTTCAAAGGC